TTATGTTCAGATGGTAAGAACAGCAATGGTAGCTCTATGAAAATATAAAAAAAAGGGGTATTTTATATACAATATCAACATGTCAATTTTTCATTTTATGTCAGAGGAATAAGGAAAAATATTTTTTTAGAAGGTTATTTATGGGTTATTTTACAGATATTTACAGTAGCCTGAAATTTCTCTTTACAGACCTTTGTATCTTCCATCCAGTTTGTAACTCAAGAGAGACAATAAACCTTTTATAGCACATGCTAGTGAGAAACACCATTATCTGTGGAATCCAGAATGAATAGTCTTAAAAATTTGCTAAAATAGCCATTTGGTTTTACGTATTTTGTTAAGTAACTTCCAGTATAAATTAAATATATTACAGTTATGGTGAATTAATTATAAAATCTAGTGGTTTTGAGTGATGCTTTAGACTGGCTTTTGTTGTTGTTGAGTTCTTAATGCTCTTCAATTACTATACAAAGAATATTGCTTATATGTTTATATGTGTTTAATATAGTTAAATAGTGAGCCTGAGTGATTTGTTGTTCTTATTTTCATACCAGAATTTTAAGTAGAATCATGACTAGATTTCCTGTTTTTCTATTTACTCCATCTGATTTAGAATCATGAAATATTGTCAATAATTCCAGCAGTCTCCTGAATGAGGTTGCCAAGAAAATTGCCATTTGGTACCATGCACTTTGTAGTTAGAATTTCCATGGCATTTAGGGGCAGATAAATTAATAACCTTTTATGTCGAATCCAATAGCTGTTGCTGGAGCATTTGGAGTGCCTTGTCTCAAGACACGAAAGGTCACTGAGGATGACAGTGGTGAAACGGCAAGCACAGTCTCCCTCAGGAGTTTCCAGTGAAGTTGAGGTCCTCAAAGCTCTGAAATCTCTGTTTGAGCATCACAAGGCTTTGGATGAAAAGGTACAGTATGGAAAAACACTTACTAAATATACTCTTTAACTCACTTAACTGTGCCTTATGATGCAGCAGAGCAAAAACATTTATTTACTACTTGCAGTATGTCCTGTACTTAACAACATTTCCATGTCTGCAGAGAAATCCATAAGAATTTATGACCAATAGCTGTAATGCACTTCAAGTCACTTTAGCTGTCTTTTGTAGATGACAGTACTGTCTTCCTGAAATAAGCAAATCTCACCCCTGCCAGACATGCTTCTCCTATTTAACACTAAATAAACATGACACTATGGAATTTGTGATATGCTTTTAAGTTATTGATGAGAGAATGTTGGTATCTCTAATTTAACCAAAAAAAAAATCCCCAAAAAACACCACAGTAAAAAGGCAGAATGAGATGGTTCTAGCTATGTAAAGGAACTTGCCTCTTAAAAACTTTTAGGAGGAAAGCCTCCTAAGTTTCAGATGCTTTTAGCATTTACTACGTAAGCACAGTGTTCCCTCTGTAAGTAGGGTAAACTGAAATAGATCCTTCATTATCTATGGTAACGAAGGGCTTGCAGAATCAAGATAAAAACTACTGATGATACCTTCATCTAGTCATGCCAATTAAAGGGGTCTTTCCACTGGATTCCTGTGCTGGAGTCTTGTGTGTGAATGAAACTATGAAATCGAGGTACCACCTTGAGCATTGCTTTCCATGAATTCAGAAATCCAGTTCATGCCTAGAAACAATATGCTTGGAAGATGATGTATCTGAATTAGTAAGTGCCTGAAAACAACATGTGCAGGGAGGGCATGAGAACCAGTGCTCCCAAGCAAAGAACCTATTTCCTTGCGGGGTCTCTCTTGGCTGATTTGCTTGGGCTCATCACTGTGTTGCTTCTCAGTTTGAGATGGCTGGGTAAGCAAGGGAGACAGCACAGCACCTGAAACTGTTGAGCTGCACAGTGTAGAACCAATTCACTGGGCTCAAGGTAATAAATTTAACTTTTTAAATTCTGAAGTATACTCATGAAGTCGATTATATTTAAGGCACTATTATTAAAAGAAACAGCTTTATGAAAAGGGTAGCTGTGGTTATACAGCAATTGGTAATAAAGGTCTAAAACACTGTGGGTTATGAGTCATACTTGGTTAACTATCAGGTTCAAATGTAAATTAATTTAAGGAACTTATGCCAAATCATAACCTACTTTGCGTTTAGGTGTATCTCGTTAGTTATATGTTCTATTCAGTTACACATGATGAAAGAATATTTAAAGAAAATGGAGAAAAGGGAACATGATGAATCATAGAATCATAAACTGTTTGGATTTATGACTTCTAGCCACTGTAAGCAATAATTGTGATAAGCTTTTGGATGTCATTAAAACTTACAAAATTCTGTTATTAAAAATGTTTTTTGAGGATTCATAGGGTTTGTAGTCTGAGCTTTGGTCTTTTATCTAACACTTTAAACATTGATAAAACTATAAAGAAAGTAAGGAGATCTCCTGCTTTTATACTTTTTGACACTGTATTGGATAAATATGACAAAAAGAACTAAAGTTTAAACAGATTCTAATTATTTAGCAGTTATGTACTTCTTATATTTTCTTTTGTGAATGTTTTATTGTTTAGGTGCTATGCAGTTTATATCACATCTCATTTTGAAATTATTGTACAGAATTAGATTGAAGCTAAATATAATATTTTGACCTATATTCTTGAAAAATATATTTTTACATTTTTTAATGTAACAAGTTAAAGTCAGTATTCTGTTCCTTTAAAAATTTTGGAGTGACACCAGTACACATGTGTATAATGGGTCTGTGTCCCAGTAGTAATGGTAATTATCAGTGTAGAAAAATCAGCCATCTGCAGTCATGTTAACAGGAGAATTGTTGCATTCTAGAACAAGTTTTAAAATTGATTGGCCAAAATTACTTTTCCTTATGTGCTATTCATCTATGCGTAGAACCCTTTTTATTTTGATATAATAAATCATATTTTTATTATAAAATATTCTAAAATCAATCAAGGAAACAGTGTAGTAAATTACCTTGAAATTTGTTATAAATCTAGCACACATTATTTTCAGGTACAAGTACTCAGTAAAATTACACTTACAGTATTTCTTCTTACAAGGATAGGATCAAAGACACTTTATATATCATCCAGATACCTGTTAATGTAATGCTATCCCATTATACCACACATTGTCAGCATTTTTGGGATTTGTATTCAAAAATGGAAGTAAAAAGACTGCATACACCCAAATGTGCTAAGAAACCTTTATGGCTTGTGAGTCATCTAGTCTGCATTTTGACCAAAAAATTATTTTAGATCTGTTTCAGACTCTTCAGCAATAAGGTATCAATGCATCTATGGATATTCATTGATGTTATTCAGAGATTAGTAGAATAACAGGTTGGACCTCCAAGAGGACATCTAGCCCAACTTCCTGCTCAAAGCAGGGCCAGATGTTTCAGGTTGCTTAGGGTACTGTCTAACTTCTGAATATCTCCAGGGTAAAAACCTATTCTGCTGTTTTAGCAACCTTGTTGTAATTTCTTTTCCGTAATACCTAGCTGAAGTTTCAGTTGTTGAGCCTTACACTTGTTCCCTCTTGTTCTGTCACTCCGCATCTGCAAGAAGAAACTGGCTTTGTTTCCTCCACATCTTCTGGTTGGTTAGTTGTAGACAGCAGTAAGGTCTCCCATGCAGCTTGCCTTTTAAGTTTGACTAGAGCCAGCTCTCTCAGCCTCTTATATGCCATCTGCTCTAGCCCATGTCCAGCTTGATGGGTCTTCATTGAAGTCCATCAGGGTCTTTCTTGTACCAGGGAGCAAAAAAACCAGGTGCAGCCTCAAACGTTGAGGGGAGTAAACACTTCCCTCAACCTGCTAACTGAACTGTGTGTTTGGCCTTATTTACTCCTACGTCTTTTTTGCAAAACTGCTTTCTCTTCCCCAAGCCTATCCTGTTGCCTGGGGCTATTCCATTCATAGTAATGGGACGCCTCTTGGTCTTTGTGCCACTGATCACAAACCTCTCAGCCTTGCAGTCCAGCCAGTTTTCTATGCACTGTGTAATCCCCTTATCCAATTCATGTCTTACCCATTTCTCTAGAGGCAAATGGAAGATCTTGTAGAAAGTCTTGGTAAAGAGAAAGTAAAAACATTCAATGCTCTCCCCTTGTCCATGGAGTCGGTCATCTCAGCAGACAAGGCAATAAGGTTAGCCAGATTTCATTTACCCTTGACCGAGTCATACTGGCTCTTCCCAATTGCTATCTTGTCCTTTCTGTGCCTGGAAATGGCTTCCAGGAAGATTTTCTCCATAACCTTCCCATCACTGGCCAGCTTGTACTTCCCTGGATCTGCCCAGGATAATTCCTGCCTTTCATGATGGTGAACGCATTTGTGGCTTTTCCACTCATCAGGAGTCTCCCCTGACTGCCATTACCTTTTAAAGGTGAAAAAGGCCTCACTGTGAGTTAACCATGTTTCTCAGCACCCTTGATTGCTGCCAATCTATTCCCTTTGGCTTATGTATGTCTTGTCCTCCTGTATTGTGGGTTATTCTTTCCCACTGAATCTGCTGCTATGCTTAGGGAGACTTGAGGCCAGAACATTGCAGTAAATACTGAGGAAAAAAAACCTGATATGATATGATGATGTCACTTGAAATAAACACTGCCCCGCCAGAGGATGTACACATAACCAAAGTAGGTTAATGGATAAAGAGTACTGAAAACTGCCAAAAGTGCATTGAAAATGTATCATGACCCTTTGCAAATGAATAATGGAAACTTCTTTCCTTTTCTTTAACACTTCACAAAAATTGTTGACATTGAAATCATTAATTTTTCCGTTACATCCTTGAAAAAGCATAATAAGATATTTTAATAAAAATGTTTTCATTTTAAACTCATAAAAATCCTAAGAAAATCTGTACATTCTACCTAAATGCAAATTTCCTTTCATATTTTCACTTCCTACACTAAAACATCTCGAGGTGTTGTAACAAGTTCTGACACAGAACTTGGCTGGTCATGCAAGCCTTGCTATGTACACAATATAAGAACTAAAAGAAGTCCTCATTACTATAACAAAATACAATGAAAAATATGAAACAGACTGGAAGATGGAAAATAAAACATATCAATTCAGGCTTTGTATTTCCAGGGAGGCCTGCTTAAGTATGAGGAGAACTAGGAATGTTACCTTAATTTATTTCAAAAAGCCTATTACCTCTCTATATATTACATGAAATCTGGGCTTTGACTTTACCTTTTATCCAAAAGATAGACCACCATGGAGAGTTCATGGCCATGATTGCATCATTCGGAGAAAGTATGGCTGTTACTGACAGTTATTTCAGTGTCTGACATCATCCCTTCACTCCCTGTAGAATGAAAGCTTGGCATGAGCTTCCTGTGCTAGCAAGCCTGTCCTGTTTTGCTGAACCCAACAGGTACATCCTGCTGAGAAGGTGGTAGTAAAAGAATGCTGTTATTTTTACCCCATTACCTATATGACATCCTAGCAGTGCCAAACAACGGTCTTCATAGTCTGTTCTTGTATAGTTGTGTTTTGTGAGAATTTTTACTTTAGCACATGGAGGTAATGAAAGAGTTCACTTGTAAATATTTGCGATCTTACGTGTATCTCAGAAATCTCATTGTGTCTCCTTGGGTGAGTTGTGTCACAGCAAATGAAATTGATACTGCACTAACTGTATTATTATTATTTACAAATTTAATGTGACGGAAGCTATACCTATTTTTAAACATCTTGGCATATATAACTGTTCTAAAATTTTTAGAAAACTGAAAACTCAGGGCAGTATCGGTTATGCTACCATATCCAGATTTTTCTTTGTGTTCAAAGTTAAATTCAGCGATTGTTTTTTCTAAGTGTAAGATTAGGTTATGTCCACAAACAATAAGCATTGTTTAAAAAATGAAAGGTTTTAAAGACTAGAGCTTAGGACTGATTATGGCTGATACGGATGTG